ATGAGCAGGGTGTGTGGCATATTGTAGGAGTTCAACCAATGTTTGCCAAGTACTAATTCTTTGCTACCCGTCACATTTTAGAACACTAAACCAATCTGAAAGATAAATGTTGGCCACCACTCCTCCTGTTGATAAACTACTTCAAGCAAAGGCAACAGAGGTAGCAGTGAACTTTACACGATCTTAATTTCTTTAGGCTTGCCAGAGGAATGAGAAAAGTAAGCTACCTTTCATCTTTTGCTGCTCTTTAGTCTTCCAAACAGGAACACACATCTAAAGGTTTAACCAGCCTGGGAAGCCAGTTATGCCTGCTTCCCAACAGTTCTGCATTGAATCAGTAGTGAGATCTGAGGCATGTAAGACGTAGCTGGCTAAGGTCAAGGGGTATCCTTGTGAACTTAATAAAGCTACTACACTATGATTCCTTATATTCTTCCATGTAAAAAAGACAGATTTTGGCAAAGAGATCAAAACAGAGGTCATGTTCAAAGTAAGCCTGCCTAAGCAGGGGCAGGAAACAACTTCTTATACAGCTTAATGCATGGGAGAAAATTACTAGGATCATCTGAGGCCATTAAGTTTGTGAGGGATTACATGTTGAGCCATTTCATTTTAAAAAGTAAAAGTCACACATTTCTCTCGATCCCATTCATTTGATCTGCCTTTTAAGGCAAACTCTTAAGCAAAACCATTCTCTAAAGGTGTCACCTGTTTCTTTCAAACATACACAGTCACATGGTGAGGGTGGTGGGAGGAAAGTTTCCCTCCTCCAAGGTAACCCCCATCATGCTTTTCTGTGTAAATTCTGAGGTTAATTGTTAATCTTGACTTTTAATTGTAACTCTGATTCACGGGTAACTTAGGTTTTAGTTTAACTCTACTCTTAACATCTCCTTCTTCCTGCATTGACTTTTCAAATGAGCTACAACAGTTCTGTGGGGAATGCATATGACATCAAACTTCAATGATAAAAAAGGACATGTGGTCTAAAATGAGCTGCTTTGCCCTGGCTGGTGTGGCTCAGTTGGTTCAGCATCTTCCCATGCACCAAAAGGTCCTGGTTTGATTCCTGGTCAGGGCACATGCCCAGGTTGTTGGCTGGATCCCCAATAGAGGGCATGCAGTAGGCAGTCGATTGATTTTTTTCTCTCTCCCTTTCCCTTCCTCTCTCTATAAAATCAATGAAAACAAACTCATTTATAAAAATAAATAAATAAATATAAATAAAATTAGCTGACTTTATCAGCAATGATTGTTAAAGAATAGTTGTAATTACTTAAAGAAACAATCACAGTAGTCATTGCTATACTACTATTTTACTCTTGTTTTTAAATCTAGGTTTCTCACAATATGTTGGAAACTATATTAACAAAACAATTTCATGTCCCACATTTTGGGCAAAGTCTTGCCTAATAAAACTGTTTGCTGGACTGCCTTTTTCACTGATCCCTACAATGACTCTGCATTGACCTCAAGTAGGAGGTGGAAAGAGCCACAGTTATGGACTCTAGCAGCTTACTGAGGGTGAGCAAAGCTTGGATCACTTAAGGGAGGTCAAAGGAAAAGTGAGCTCATGCTCACTGAACCCTTTGATCCCTTACAGTTCTCCTTTTCCTTTCTCTGCATTCTAATTTGTTCCTGCAGATACTAAGGTGCTTTGTATATCTGAGGCAAAAAGAATCACTGGAAAAGAAAGAACAAAAATGTTTTCAGCTTTAATTCCTCTTCAGCCATATTTGCGTGCATGGTGAGAAAACAGGAAGTGTTGTTGAAAATGTGAGTTTTGCATCTCATCCAAAAAATTGCAACTTATACAGTATCTATTCTCTGTGTCTTTTTGGAGTCGCACATGATTCCTCAGCTGACAGAGTCTCCAAGATGAAGGCCAATTTGCTGTAACAACTAAAGAACTTTAAACACATCTGACTTTGTGCTAATGAAAATAAATAATCCTATATAATCAAAACCTAATATGCTAAGTGTCTGGTCATCCATTCAACCGATCAAAGCATAATATGCTAATGATATGCTAAAGCCACTCAACCACTCGCTATGATGTGCACTGACCACCAGGGGGCAGACAGTAGACTGGCTGACCAGTTGCTGTGATGTGCACTGACCACCAGGGGGCAGACAGTCAACCAGTCACTATGACGTGCACTGAACACCAGGGGCAGACACTTCGCTCAGTAGGTTAGTTTGCTGCTGGGGTCCAGCCGATTGGGACTGAGTGAGACAGGCCAGACACATCCTAGAGCCCTCCCACAGTCCCTTCCCAGCTGGCCAACCTCCCGCATCCCTCCCTGGCCCCGACCATGCACCGGTGGGGTCCCTCAGCCTGGCCTGCATCCTCTCGCAAACTGGGACCCTGTAGGGGATGTCAGAGAGCTGGTTTCAGCCTGATCCCACAGGCCAGGCCAAGGGGCCCCACTGGTGCACGAATTCGTGCACTGGGCCTCTAGTATAAAAATAAAAGAAACAATGGGTGTGTGTGTGGCGGAGATGAGTAAATATGAACTGATGGAAAGATCTTTGTATATTATCCCTTGTCTAATAATGGCCAAGTATAAAAGACCCCATAAAAGAAACTTTGCTGTGTGCCAAGCAAGCCCACCTCCAGGGAGCCCAAGAGCAGATTCATTCCCAGTACAGCTTCCCACACATGGGGTCATAACTGCAGCAATGACCTCTCTAATAGCTGACCTCTGCAGATGAGGTCTGTGTCCATGTGGTAAAAAGTTGTCACTAGATTTTCCCATCAGCTGATGTGCTGCTGTCTCTGGGACAGCACAGGAACGGAAAGCACTTTGGCAGTGGATTTAATGCTGGGGAGCCCTACCCCACCACTTGCTGTGCACTGGCAAGAGCAACAATAGATTTCCCCCTGTCCATGTAGAACGGGGATTTTCAATCTGTGTCGGAAGAATTTTTTAAAAATTGATTTTAGAGAGAGAGAAATATCAGTGTGACAGAGAAACATCAAGCAGCTGCCCCACCACCACCATTTACCCTAACCAGTAACTGAACCTGAAACCCTTTTGGTATTGGGGGGAAGATGCTCAACCAATTGAGCCACCTTGCTGGAGCTGTACTGCAAGGGATTTTAAAACATGCAATACCTGATTATTTAGTCAGGGGAACTGACTTATTTTCCTTTACAGTGTCAAATAAAAAATGACAACAGCCAACACAATAGCCATTCACTGATAGTGAATCAAAATTTTATCTGTTTTTTGGTAAAATCAGCAAAAGTTATATTTTTTGGTGTGTGGCAGAATTTTAGTTATTAGTTTATGTGTTCCGGGAGATGAAAAAGGTTGAAAATTGCTGCTGTAGAACATAAGATCTATACTCTTTTAAGGTCCTCTCTCTATAATCAGAAATGGCTTCCGTAAAGTTATTTTTAATTTTACTACTCCATGTGTTGCATGAGATAAATATTCCCTCCTGATTGCAGTCAAAAAAGGAATTAAACCAGTTAATTGACATTGTGGAAACCAAGGATGAAAGATGAATATTTAAATCTTTTAACTGTTCACCAGGTATTCTGTGCATAATTTATGCATTAATCTAAGTATCCTAAAGGCAAAGTCAATCTTATCTATATGTTAAGAATTTATAATTCCATTGTTCTCAAATTCACCTGATTGGTGATTGACATATAATGTTCTAACCTGAGAGAAATGGATGGTTTTTGCCTTTCACCATCTGTCCTGTATTGTTTGAATTCTTTACAAGAGTGTACTTTTTCATTACTTATGCAATCAAATACGCATTTTAAAAACCTTATAAATTAGAATTGTTTAAAAATAAAAAATTGTCACAAGAAACTTTGGGAGGATATTGCTAACAGTTGTTTATGGCTATTGGTTTATAGGTGATTGTGGTGCTTTGCATTGTGGTTCAAAGCATAAGATACAAATTATCAATAACTGGCTAGTACTGTTTATATGATACACAAGAAAATAAAATGCTGTGTCACAAAAGAAAATAGGAAGTTTCATGACAAGTATGTATTAATCTGAACCTGTTTTAGTCCTATTTCTGTTTCTAAGTAGGCTTTCACATGTAGTTTATATTTATCTATTTAGGCAGACATTCACCCTATCAATCAAACCTTTATATTGACTCATAACTTTCTAAATAACCTACCATATCATTTCCCTTCTTCAAAAATTCAATTCTAGGCATGTGCTCTCTCTCTCTCTCTCTCTCTCTCTCTCTCTCTCTCTCTCTCTCGCAAGAACAAGCCATTCCTGACCACCCTTTCTCCCCGCCAGGCACGTTACCTTTGCCTTTCCTTCCTCTAAACTCCAAGGCCCCTTCTTTTGCTTCTATAAATTGTTCCCTGAGCCTGCACAGCCCCGCTGTCTCACTTCTACTACCTCTGTAACTTTCTAAATAAACTTTCTCTTATAATTTGAAAAAAAAGTTCAAGTCTAAGTTTTCTAATTATAAATCAATAATTTTACTGTATTCGCCCTTTGTGAATATTAGGCCTTCTTATTCAACGAAAATAGAAATAGTCAGTAATGATTAAGAATAGGAGAAAAATTGCAAAATGATTATCCTGAGTCACTCATGTTATTCAGGAGTCTATTATGGGGAGAAAAGGGGGCGGGAATTAGAGAAAGTAAATGGGAATTGATGGGAAGAAAGGATGAAAGAAAACTAAGGGGATAAAATATGTGGGGTGGAGGAAAATCAGGTTGAATCATATGCAGTTGCCATTTTCATAGGTCAAAGGTTGGAATACTGGTAATTTAATATAGTTTAAACCAACTAATTGCAACAACAATAATAATAACAATAATGATAGAGTATAGGAGTGAGAAGAAAATCAAGATGAAAGTTTTTTAAAGTCCTCATTCTATCTGACCCCTGCTTCAGTGCATTATAGAACTAATGAGAGTCCTGCAGATGTTTCACAAGAAATTCTTCTCTTCACCTACCAGTTATCTGCCAGTATTGGAAAAGGACGAAATATTTCACATATTTACCTTCAAGATGGGAGCCATGAAGACTGAGAGGCCAGTCAGAATAAACACAAGGGTTCCAGTGACTCTTTGTTCCCTGAAACCAAATCAAAAGATTACCAATCTACCTCTTGTTTTTCCACCTTCAAAAAAGACTATACATTGACTGAATCAATGCTTGGCTAACAGCAAAGGTGTTGATATCATATGTAATTAATACCTCAAGGACAGCATATATGCTCAACATAAATATAAAATTCTCTTAAAACTATTGCAATATGTGATTTTAATTCATCAAGAGGAAACTGATTCTGCTAAATCCTACGCTCCTTTTAGAATCAAGAAAGAAAGAAAAGAATCACTTGCTCTTGGCCCAACAATTATGGGCCTCTTTGAAGCCCTTATTTTTTAAACAACTTGAACTGTTGTGTAATTACACCTTTCACAGGAGACAGATATTACATTGTCCCACATTCTAATTAATAAACAGCTCAGGGAAATTTCATAAGTGCAATAAAATCTCATCAGTCTAATTTCCAAATCTACAACAACAAAAGTACTTTTTAACAAATATGATTCCCATACAACACCCCCTCCCCCGGCCCCCAAGAAAGAATCACCCACTGTTGTAGCGTGGGAAACGGTGGCTCTGTCATGTGAGCTATTCACCCCAGCACTGAGGGGCAGGGTTTGCTGTAAAAAGTAGACAACAGCATATAAAGGTCCTGTAAAGTCCTTCATGGCTATTCAAGTTTAACAGCCAAAAGTCAGTTTCTCAGGCTTACGGGGATCAAAAATGAACTGGAAAGAAAGAATTCTTTTCCCTTCATAGAATCTTAAAAATCATAAGCCGACTCGAGAGTTTTAGGGAGTCTCAAAAGGGCCAAAGATGAAAGGGTTTGGTCTTTATATATGATACGCTAAAGTTAGTACCACAGCATCAGAAGGACCTGCATGTTGAAGAAATGAGTGACCTGTTTGCATTTTTACATTGCATCACTTAGCCTTTCATAAATCAAAGAAAATTCAGTTATCATAAGAAGCGAACTCAAAAAAAATTGTTGAGGACTCTCTGATGAAAAACTTAGTCCTTTCTAGAAAAGGAAGTATGGGAATAAATTAATCATCACTAGCCCTTTCTCCTCCATATTTTCCCATTTCCTTATGATTGACATGTGGATGTGTGCACGCGGTGTTCCGTAGAGTCACTGTCTTCTGACTTCACATACCTCACTCCAAGAAACTTGGGCTGTTCTCCAGGGGCAGAGGTCTCCGTCTCCATCTTCAGACTGTCGATGTGAGCAATGGAGATGACAGTCGCAGCCACGTACCACGGAAGAGCCATGAAGGAACACACCACCATGAGGATGGCCACCCAAAAGAGATCCAGGTGATACCCAGCTCCTTTCTGTGGGAAGAGGTAACAAAACCACATGAAGAAAATACTCATATTGCTATCAAGTCATAGCCCCCGGTGGGAATTAAGATTAGTCAAAGAAACCAACTCGCTCTGCTCAATAAAAATTTCTACTAAAAGGTGAGCTCTTTGAGTGAAGTGACTTCATTGCCCTATTATTCACCCTAGCGATTAAACACCAAGTGGACACATTACACCTCTTCTAGCTTGATGTATGACTGCTTACTTATTATTTGTTTATTGTTGCTTATCTTCTCTGCATCCAATTCTGTAATCAACAACAGAGATACACATCTACTTTGATGAGTATTGGAACCAGTCAATGAAATAACAGAAGCAAAGCATCTTGCAGTGGTTGCTGCATAGTAGGAGCTCAATAAGTGGTAATAGTAGCAATAGGGATATTGGTTGGTGTTAACATAAGCAAGAAAAGCACCTTAAAAGCAGGCATTGTGCTGTCTCTGCTCAACTGCTTAGCAGTATGCTATTCACCTAGACAGCATTCAGCATATGAAGACGAAAGATCTGAAAGCAACCTTGAGAGGTCATGTAGAAGACCATTTCTCACCTTTCATAGTAAATGAAAATAACTGTTTATAATCTGCTGCACATTATCATGAAGGTAATGAATATCCCCACAACCAGAACAGGCTGATTTCAAACATTGCCCAATGGTCACAATAACATTTATTGACTGGGAGAGCAGACAACGTAACAAAAGGTCTAACTCTTTTACTCACTAAATAAATATTGTCAAATGTGTCCACAATGTTATTCTATGGTTCTGTTTCTCTGTTCTATTTGTGAAGAAATCAAATGCTTAATGCCCCTATGGAGCCTGAGAAAATAGAGCAGTTCATTTTCACAGCATGAAAGCAGCAGCACCAAGAGCCAGAATATGACCAATCCCAGGGAATGGAGACATTGGCTTTAAAAAATGAGAATGTGATTTTACACTAGGAACCCAGTGACTGTTTTGATTCAGATCCTGTTACAGTTAGTCAGAACACTGCTTTCCTCTCTCTGAAAGGCCAAGATTTCACCCCTGGCTCACACACATGGGTCTAATCATGTTCTCACAGAACTCATCACAGGCAAGGGGAGCTGACACAAGAAAAAAAAAGCATAAATTTAACTGAGTCCAAGTTTGACTAAGAACAAAAATGTCTTTGGGAGACAAAGAGATTAATACATATTCATAAAACCAGTTCATTTCAGCTTCAGTGATTTGAAAGCATAATGGTTTGAAGTGGGAATGGAGTAAGGTAGGGGAAAGAAGGACAAAGGTGGGGATGGCCAACATAAACTCATTAAACAGTGACAAATGAGATGATTATCATGATATATCTGGGGGCCCAGTCATTCATTCTTTCAACAAATACTGAAAATTTATTAATAGGCATAATCCTAGATGTTGATGACACACTTGAGAATAAAATAGACAAAGATTCCGGCACTTATGGAGTTTCCATTCTACTAAGAGAGATAACAATAAACATCATAAATAAGTAAACTACCCCGTATCTTAAAGAGTAATAAGCACTAAAGGAACTAGAAGTACTTGGGCTTGTACGCTGAGTACATGGGAAGCCACTGAATGGCAGGATTTGCTTATGTTCTAAGCACGATGGCTGCTGTGTTAGAAACAGCCTGAAGAGGGTCAAGGACATAAGACCTCGTAACTTACAAGTTCCAAGTGAGAGCTCATGATAGAACGAGAGAGGCAGCAGTAAAGATGGCAGGAACTGTTTGGATTCTGATTATACCTTAAGGTGGCACTTACAGAGTGTGTTCACACCTGCCTGGGGATGTGTCTTATGACCTTGCTGTATGCCACTCATGATATGGCTTCTGTTCACATCTGTAACCTCACCGTTCACTGTCCCCTGCTTGATTCCTATGCCATGACTACTTTCAACCACATGTACTTCCTTGAATATATCTTACTCACTAATGCCTTTGTCTCTTTGCCCACACAGCACCCCATACCTGGAATAATGGCTACTCTGCCTTCTTCTTCTATTGGCTCAGTACTACCCATTCTTAAAACAAATCAGTCTTCACCTTTTCTGGTAGTTTTTCCTGCCTCAGTCAGGTGAGACGGCTGAGTTCCTTAAGGTTAGGTCTCCTTTTTCATGTTTTTCTATCTGTTATCTCATGCTTTCCTCGATCACAGCACTCGTCGCACTGTATTTATCTGTCTTTGACATTAGACTATGAGTAACAATAGGACTGCAACTATATCCTGAATACTTTAGCAGAGTGCATGATATATAGTCAATTCTCAATTAATCTTTACTAAAAACTGAATTACAGTCAAGATGGTGTGGTTCAGTGGTTGAGCATCGACCCATGAAGTAAGAGGTCTCTGGTTCGATTCCTGGTCAGGACACATGACCAGGTTGCAGGCTCGATCCCCAGTGGGGGTATGCGGGCGGCAGCTGATCTATGTTTCTTTCTCACCTATGTTTCTATCTCTCCCCCTTCCTCTCTCTCTAAAATCAATAAAAACATTTTTAAAAAATGAATGACAAATAGGATGTATACATTCTTCTGAATGTCAACTATAATTTATTTATTGGCCATTCAAAAAATTAAAACTTTACTTGTTAATTGGTAGAAATATGACTCATTTTGGGGGGAAGGAATGGAGGTTGACAGCAGCTGGGAATATCACATAGTTTTAAGCCCTATTTAGCTTAAATCACTCAAGACTATATTAGAGGTACCACCAGGGTAGTTAGTAGGCAGGATCCCCAAATCTTGTCTCCAAGAAAGCTGTAATAACCTCAAGATGTGGATACTGGCCAGATCAATGGGTCAAAAGAATTAGCTGTTGCAGAAAAATCTATGCTGTGAACTATCTTAATGCTTTCTTAAACTCTTTTGACTAACAGAAGTTTGAGTAAAGTATCCTGGAGACTAGCAAAAAGGGACCATACCAAAGAGGTAATATGAGGATTTTATAAGGCAGAATACAAACCTGAGAAAGCAAAAGCACCAGCATAAATAAATGGGGCAAAATAATACATAGATAATTACTCTGTGCCTCTTAACATCACTCTCTTCAAAAAGTCTTCCTTTCCATAAACACACTGAGACCATAACTTAGAACGATTTTTATCTTCAACATCTAACATGAATGCTCCATACCTAGCAAGGATTAATACATGCTTGAAAGGTTAAGTATAACCTTTAAAGTTTAAAAAATATTTCCTTGTCTTCAAGAATACAAATCCAAAGGATGTTCTACCTTCTGAAACTGGAGATTATTTTAAGTAAAGAGCTAGGAAGTGAAACTTCACTTCCTTTTGATGCTGTACATGCTTTGTAATAGAAAGCATAAGTAATTTAGGAATGCAAATACAGAAATAAACTATGAGAGAAAAAGACTAGCCCAACAATCAAAAGTTTACATCTGTTAATATTACAAAGGGGTCAGGAGCAATATACACATATGCATAGACACAGAATAAGCATTCACGCCAGGAGCCCCCATGATCCAGACAATAAAGGTTTATAGGGACACTGAGAAACATGGCATAGTTCTTCCCATCAAAGGGCTCACAATAGGATGAGAGGACTTAGATTTGTACACAAACTACATGCATCCAAATACACATTCAAAGAAGTTCGAAAGAGATACCCAAAAGAACAGAGGATAAAGTGTTTAACTAGGTCTAGAAAGGACCCACAAAAATTCCTGCAGTGATGACATCTAAACAGGTATGGAATACTATAAGCACTCACTATGAGGACTGGAGATGGGCTGGCATAGTTTCCAGTTATCACCCATCTCAAATAGTGCAACACCTCTGAGAACCATGTGACCCAAGATAATAAAATTCTTCAATGCGTATTTATAGAGTCTGCCATATGGCAATCATTGTGATGGGCCACATGAGAGTGGAAAACAGGACTAAAACATAGTCTTTAGCTTAAAAAACGTGTTGGCCCAGAAAAGGACATAAGGTAAATACACAAAATATCTACCTTGCGAGACACTGTGTGACCAGTGCCACAGAATAATACAAAATTACTAAGAGCAAAAACAAAAACAATAGAAATTACATTAGGAGTGAAGGTTACACTAACAAGTGTTTATATTTGGAGTATCTTAAAGGATGGTGAGGATTTTGATGATACATGATAAATGGTAATCACTAAGGAGTGGGAAGCTAACAGAAAAACTGCCAGACTTGAAGAGAAACCAGCAATTAATTTGGCCACGTTATTGTACAGTATGTGAAGAGAATCATTTTAAATTTAGGATGAGATCATATCACAAAGAGACTTATTAGTAAATCCCAGGCTAAGACAAATTGATTTTCTTCAAGGAGCAAAGATTTAGAGGCCAAGGTATAAAGGTTTAGAAATAGAGGACTGACATATAAGAACAACACGTTTTACAAAATATTTTTAATTTTTATAGAGAGAGGAAAGAAGAGGGAGAACGAGAGAGAGGAACATAGATGTGAGAGAGAAATATTGGTCAGTTGCCTTGTTCCCTCTACCAGGAATCAGACCTGCGATTCAGGCATGAGCCCTGATTGGGAGCCTAACCAGGCACCTCTTGGTGCCTCGGTTGATGCTCAACCAACTGAGCCACACCAGCCAGGGTTAAAAACACACTTAAAAGAAAATTTATTGCTTTTAGAATGAAGCAAAAGAGACTGGTTATTAACTAAGCAATTAGCTAAACAATTAGAATACTCTAGACATGAAATAAAAGGATCTAAGTTTTGATAGCAGGAATAAAAAGAAAAAATGAAAGCAAGGCAGATTTTTTAGTTATCCAAGAAAACACATTAAAATTTAGAGCTTTATTATCGAGAATATCAGACAAAATTTATTGCTACAATCACCTAATATATATCTATTCAAAACTATTTCTCTCTCCCACACCCTATCTATAACACTTAAAATCACTTTCCTTGTGAGAAGTATCCCTTGCTTTGTGATCTGAAGTTCACTCATTCTTCTTGTCTCTGCAATGATTCGGGGAATGACCTTGGACAAGACATGACCTTGCTGAACCTGGTTTGCTTTAGAGTGCTCTGCAAGGATAATGTGGGGAAATCTAACCAAAATGATGGCCGAAAAAGAAAAGCCAAGTGCCCTGGCGTTCCTACATCAAGAGAGAGCTGTGCAGCAGAGTGGAAAGGTGGATCCCATCCCAAACAGAGCCGCCAGCCAGTCAGTGCCACTTGACCCAGAACCAAAGCAAATGCCACCCAAAACCATGCTGCTTTTAATATCACAATGCTTCCATCTCCCTCACTATTTCAGGTTTCTCTCTGGACCCAATTTCATAGTAGTCAGGGACCGTTATAATTTTAGACAATATCTCCAATTTTCACATTCCTTGACTAACAAATGTGAACAAAACCATATCCAGAGTGAAAAGCCTTTAATTCATGATGAAATCTCCACTAGTATCATTAGATTTGTGTCAGAAGACTGGCACTTACTCTATAACCATTATCATGCAAAGGAATGACTTCAAATAAGCAATTACAAAAGTGACGAAAACTTATTTTTTATTTACTACTCAACTCCTGTTTCTAAGGGTAAATCCTAATGGACCTTGATTTTCCATTCTACAGGGAATGGGAGAATTAAAAATTCTGTTTTTTCAATCCTAAATTTTCGAAATTCAAAATTCTGATTTTTATTAATAAGAAAACTTAAGCAAAATGAAAGTAGTTATTTACCTCCAAAGACACATAAAAATCTGTCCAACTATATATCAAAATGAAGATTATGTTTGCAAATTTTTTTCAGAATAAAATATATTAGTCAACATCCATTTTCAGTCTTTCAAACTAAATCAATGCTGAACCCCTCCCAGTACAGAACATAAAGTGCTCCATCAGATACAGAAAATATTTTATACAAATCATGGCTACCAGACAGAAAGTCAGAGAAACAACTAGACATAAAAAAAATAATGGAAACAAGAAAGAGGAAATCTACAGTCAGCAAGCCCTGGAGTCCAAGCCTGCCCTGAGAGATCATGGGAGTCCTTAAGGGTATAAGACTGGATTAGAATGACCTTCTGAACTCTGTGAACAGGAGGTCAATCCTAGGAATACAGGGGAAATAAGACAAAGATCTGTAAACACAGCATACCAAATTGGTCAACAACAACAACAACACAACACAAAAGTATAAAGCAGAGTTTGTAATGTTATCAATGGGAATACATGCCTTTCTTGGTCTTTCCACGAGATGCAATTTCATAAGAGAAAAAAAAAAAGTAATCCCCAAAGATATTCCCAACCGCAAATCGACAACTGGGTTTGATGCTGAAATTGCTCTCTTCAGCGGCTAAGGAAATACAACATGAAACAACTTTTTTGGATTTAAATGAAATCTCCCTAAAGTATTATATTGAGGAAATGTGTCAACACAAGGTGACCTGTGACTCTGCCAGGAACAGTGGTTATAATATAACTCCCAATCAAACCAAACCATCTTAATTTGAATTGATATTTGTTTGCAAGTATTTCAAAGAAAGGAGAAGGCAATGCTAACCATTATTACAAACATTTACCTTGAGTTTATGCTCCTTCCTGTTCACAATCACAGCTGTGATTTGCTGGTCCATGAAAATGAGAATGGTGACCAACAAAGCGGGGATAGCAGCCGCCAGGTACACCCACCAGGGGTTTTTTCCAAATGGTGGGACAAACCAACCGCGGTTCGGACTCGTTGGCTTGAAGAAGAGAGAAAACAACCATTATGAATACATACCACTTTGTGAAAAATCAACAGGGGAGATACACTTTTAATTTTGGAGAGCCAACACAAAAAATGGAAAGAGTTTTATGGGTAAACTGGACAAAGAAGATTATTCACCAAACATTTCCTAAAGGAGCTGAGTTTTAAGGCAGTATTTTAAATGAAGGAGACTAAGAATATAGATCCGGTGGAAAAAAACGATCTAAGATAAGGACTCAATATGGAAAAAAGGAATTTAAGTTTAAGGGCCAGCCATAAGAAAAAAACCCAGATGTGATATTTGGTAAAGAGATAGGCAAGAAATTACAAAACTACCATGACCTTTGTCCATGGACTTGAGCAATTACACTGAAGTTGTTTCTAATATTGCCACATTATAATGACTTTATAATATAACATATAAAAAGCTACAAATATTTTTATGTTATATTCAAATTTATTTGAACATTCTGGTGTTTATTTTACATATGAAAAATAACCCAGGATAATTGGTTAAATCCTCAGAAATACCACAGAAAATGAAAAAATATAGTTATTCTTCTAGTTCCCAATCTATCGTCTATCAGCAGATCATATATCTCTACTACAAAAAAATTCCTATCCTTTATTCTGACTTTAAACAATGTAAGTAAACTAAAATCCTACCTATGAATTATTTTCTCTGTATTTACTATCAAAAAAGTCTCACTTCTCCTCTGAAGATATTTCTGTTTTTCCTCTTACTTGCTCATAACTCCATCACTGAATTTATCCAGATTTTACTACCTTTACCAGGTTGTGAGCTTGTAAGGAAAGCAACTTTGTCTTGCTCGTCGATGCATTACAAATATCCAATATAGAGCCTAACTCAAAGCACACATCCTGTACATGTTGGCTTAAATGAACTAATGATTAAATGCATGAGAACTTTTCTTTGCTAATGAATATGTGATGGAAGAGATAATGCAAACATATTCTATTTGCTATAACATAGATATCCCTTCCTCATTGAGTAGTTACTAAGATAAAACTATAGTTAATTTAGTTTTTTTTAGCAAGTATATGGTCTCCATGATGGAAAAGAAAAGGTTAAGTGTTATAGAAAATAGGTAAAAAACTTATAATGGAAACTTCGGTATGAAATATAAAGAATGACTGAAACGTAAATTTTAGCTATTGGGCCTGCAAATACCAACAATATAAAATGAATAATTCCTGTATCTTCTTTGTAATTATTAAAATGCACATTATTCATAAATATGTGTTTACATGGCAGGTAGTTTGGTAGCAGAAAAAGATCACTGAAGTAGTAATGTAATTGTGGGTATTTTACTTAATTTTTTGAGCTTAAAAACTTCATAAAATAAGGATGACGATACTTACATTGCATCCTAAAATTATTATATGGGTCAAAGTGATGAGTTGTATGAAAATACTCTGAATATTTTAAAATACTCTAAAAGTATAAAGCAGAGCTTGTAATGTTATTATAAGGTATTTTTCATAAAAATCAATGTAATCTTAACTTTTCATATGATCATTCAGATACTTAATTTTAATAAAGAAATGAGTAAATGTATACATGTGACTATCAAGAGAACATTTTCAAAATATGTAAAGAAATGGATAATTGTACAAAACTAAGAACAGATATGACAAACTAGAGTAACAGGGGGAAGGAAAGAAAGCCAAAGGGTTCTAGGAATGACCAAAAGACAGAAGTTCACCTACCTTGAACTCACTTGGCACAATTAATTTTGGAGTATCCACACCTACCAGGGCATCTGCTACACAAAAGATGAGAATGGACAAGATGATGGCAAAATCACTGATCAGTTTTCTTGCCTGGGAAAATAAAAAAGAAACCAGGACTGTTTAGCACTAGATCCAAATATTTGCCCATGTTTGAATTGAATGAAGAAGTCTGTATTTGCTAACAGTTTATAGGAACAATTTCATCAACAAGTGAAAGGAGCAGTTATACTGCAGAGAGATTATATTTTAAATTGTTTTTGCATCACTCTGTCACCTGGTCAAAGGTAATCTAATCCCACAGAACAGATCAGTGTGAATGCATGCATTGGGCGAGAAGTCAAAGGTAATATATCCCTGAAATACTGTATCAACACTTTTCTTGTTTTGCAGCACAAAAGAGACCTGGACAAGGATGAAACCTCAGGGCATATTATAAAAATCTGCACAAAAACATAGATGAGTTCCAGTCCATTGAGTAGACTCAAGACCTCAGAGAAATGTAAAGTGATGGCAGATGGAAAATTGATGGCTTCACTAACTTTTTCAAAGAAAATACTTTTCACTCTAGATTAGTCCTTAAAATCTCCAATATGTGAAATATCTGTTCTCCACTGTTAAGTGTGATTGCCATTAATCAACACCTCTAAACTAAGTACCTCGTAAGGACAAGGGCTGGGCTTTATGGGATGTAGCATTAAACCCAAACCTTTCTTATGGAGTAGGTGCGGAATGGCCATTTCTAAGTCAGCAGGGGAGTGTAGGGTTATTTAGTTGGTTGGCTGTTCCTCTGTGGTGTTTAGTGGCACAGACAACAGCCTAAGAGCATTACTAGAGCAAAGACACCTGAGTTTCCCTATAAGGTACTTATACATAGTAGTGCACAATACGATCATTCTACAAGAACTTGGTACCTAAACTTTGATTGGCACTAGAAATATCACAGTGAACCAAACAGACACAATCCATGCCTCATGAAGCTTACAGTCAAGTCATTCACAAGGAAGCCTGCTCCTAGTTTTAGATAAAACTACAGTTGATTGAGCAGTTACCAAGTTGTCTCAGGGTGAGCAGTCAGTTTTCTGGTGCTGCCAGATGAAGGAGATCACTGATGGGCTGAGTGGCTACACAGTTCTCCGGGCAGTGGGTCTTGTAAAAGAGTAGCAGGAAAGAGGGAGGCAGGAGAGTCAGTGTCAGAGGGATGCAGTGTCAGACAGGCCATTGTTGGCTTTGAAGATGGAGGGGCCACAGGCCATCAGGTGTTCAATGGGACCGGAAGTGAAACACGAAATTACTTGATGATGCGGGATGTATGCTGAAGGCTAAGGCAGGGATCAATTTGTGACCATTACCAGGTGTCAGAAGCTTGGTACAAACTAGCAGCAGGGCCACAGATGGCCCTTTTGGCCAGAAATTCCTTTCCCTCTTGGAGAGCTGGATGCTGCTAGGTTTAGCTTTCTTGAGAAGTACACACAGAGGAGCTGAAAGCCAGCTCCTATTGGTATCAAATTAATACCAATCACACACAATAATCTCAAGCACAGATAGATGGCATGGATCAATTTGGGCAGAAAATATGGTACAGCAGGGAGAAGCAGCTTGTATAGTCAGGTTACCTGGGCTGGAACTCCAGCACCATTATTTCCTATCCTTTCTTAGCGTCAATTACTCCACCTGCAAAATGTAGCCAAGATAATCCCTAAAGATTTCATCAGTTTCTTCTAAGAATTAAATAGGATAAGCCATTGAAAGTGCTTAACATAACACCTGGGATATAATAACCTCTCCTAATATATGTTAACTAGCTCTGACTGGTTTTGCTCAGTGGATAGAGCATCAGCCTGCAGACTGTGTGTGTGTCGGGGGTTGGGTGGGGGGGTTGAGGGGGTCCCAGGTTCGATTCAGGTCAAGGGCATGTACCTTGGTTGCAGGCACATCCCCAGTGTGGGGTGTGCAGGGGGCAGCTGAATCAATGTTTCTCTCTCATCGATGTTTCTGACTATCCCTCGACCTTCCTCTCTGTAAAAAATCAATATATATATAAAACTATTGTTTTTCCAAGTTCCACAGGCCTCTGTGGCTGCCAAAACCACTGGAATAACTACGTAATCCACTGTCAGGAAGTCTTTAAAAAGAATCTTTAAATACAAGAAACAAGAAATAAAAACCCAGTAATAACATGAAACTGCCACTCAGAGCTAATTTCTACAGAAAGATGTTTTCTAGGGACTCAATACTGGAGAAAACTCCCATTTCTTTCTTTCGCTCTCTTTTTTAAATCAATCAACTTTATCTGTTAGCGCAGTTTTAGATTTACAGAATAGAGAAGATAGTTGAGAGAGTTTCATACACCTCCTGTCATAATTCCCTCTATCATTGACATCATACATTAGTGTGTTATGTTTGGAAATACCCATTTCTTAAGTTTTGTGCAAGTGTTGACACAGTTCAGGATGATCTGGCAAAAATGGTCATGGGAAGAAGTTTCAGGAATATATTAAGATGTTACAAGAACATCCCTGGTCCTGTAGGTTATAAATCACTGAAATAACAGAAATCATTGCAAAGGCAAAAAAAAAAAGTGATTTTTTTTTCTTTATCACCCTCCTAATCCTTACCCAGTAAATCCAACTTCTTGACAACTCAGATCTACCAGAAGATGTTCAAAACGTTTTATTAAAAAGACAGTGCTCCTTTTTTTTAAAGGAGGCATTATCAGCTTTCCATAAACTGAACACTAAACCCCTAAACCTACTCTTTCAGCTTTTTTTTCCATCCGAATTAATGGCAACTTATTTTTTCCTAATGCTTAGGCCAAAAATTTCACATGACTCTTCTGTTTTTCTCACATCCTATACCTACCAGGCCAGCAAATTGCCTTCAAAATATATCCAGGCTCCTGTTACTTCCACCTCTGTTGCTATGACCGCCTTTGTCTAAGCCACCACTTTATCTTAACTTGATCTCTTTCAAACACTGCACCTAACTCATCTTCCTGCTTCTACACCACCGCTCCCCACCCTCCTTTAGTACACTGACAAGGTATAACCCAACATAATCATGTTAAAATTTAGGTCAGATGATGTGTAGGCAAGAAAAATACCCCCTAAGAATATCCATGCACTAATTCCTGGAACCTATGAGTACGTACATTACATGACTAGGGAGAATTAAGGTTGCTAATCGGCTGACCTGGAGATTGGAAAAAGGATCTGGTATTATTATGGTGGGTCCAGTGAAATCACAAGGGTGCTCATAAGTGGAAGAGGGAGGCAGGAGAGTCCGTGTCAGAGGGCTACCAGGTGGGAAAGACTGGACAGGCCATTGTTGGCTGTGAAGATGGAGAAAAGGGGCCACAAGCCTGGAAATGTGGGCAGTCGCTAGAAGTCAGAAAAGGCAAGGAAATAAATACATTTCCCACGAGGGCTTTCAGAAACAACACAGCCCTGCCAGCACCTTGATTTTAGCCCATGTGGACCCATTTCACACTTCTGACCCTCCAGATCTTAAGACAATAGACTTGTGTTGTTTTAAGCCATCATGTTTGTAGTAATTTGATATCGCTTCCATGGAAAACTAATAACTAATATAAATAAATAGTTTATCTATTTTAGTATAGTTATTATTTCCCAAATTTATATATTCATATAGAAACCTGAGATATCCCCTCGGCAAAGGCATCCTGGTCAAGTGTGGTGTTACTGAATTTTAAGTATAAAAGCAGCTAAAAGAACAAATGCTAATAACCTTCAGGATTACATTTCCTACCATTTATGGGGGGAAGAGATACTCAGTTTTGCTAAGTGTCCATCGATAAATGGTAATAATGTTGCTTAACCTCATTAAAAAGCACAGCCAGGGTGATGTGTTCTGTATAATACACTTCTATTTCCCTTTCCTCCCCCTTAAATTATACAATTCAGGGCAGTCACAGCAGAATTCACTCCTGCAGAGTGTTTATTGTAAGACATTCATTTCTAAGATACTGGATCCAGTTTAAACTCATAGTCAAGGAAATTGATTTTTCCCAGGCCACTTTTGTATTCAACTCTAAATGCTCTAATTAGAGGATGCAGGTAGGGGTGCTGTTTTAGCAGACCATTCAGGTCCTACCCCTACACTAAAAAGGAAGTTTAATCTGAAAGAGGCAAAACTGACAGCAGAACCAGAAAGCATCCTAAAACTGTCAAGCACAGAGTACATATAGCTTATCAGATACACTCCAGGACCTGCGTAATAGGAGCTCTGAGTCTGACTTTAAGGAAATAAGGATTGCTTTCTTTGAGCCCTTCTCACACTTGCAAACACAGTTAGAAAGGAAACATATGAATTTCCTTCCATTTTAAAATTTATTTTACCTTTCATTTTCATCAAACAATCTCTTTCAAACACTACAAAATAGCACCCTTTTATGTGTCACTATCTCTCTCTCTCTCTATATCTATCTATCTATCTATCGATCTATCTATCTATATATGAGAGGCCCGGTGCACAAAAATTTGTGCACATGGGGGGGAG